ATTTATGAGTGGAGACATGATGGTGAGAAGCAAAGAATTAAGTAACACTATCTTTTGTATTCTTTTTTTTTTTTTTTTTTTTTTTTTTTTTTGCTTATAGTCTTCTACTCAAACAATGGCAAGGTGTTTATCCAGGATTAAAGTTTATTAATGTTTTTCCATTTAATGCTTTTCATTAAAAAACAACAAGTTAAATAGAAAGTTCATATGCTTTTATTGTACTACTATTATATTTACATTTAAGATATTTTCTTTCCTTGGAATAACTGTCTTTTATTACAGATTTCAATGCATTCATGCATCATTTCAAAAATTATTATTTATGTATTTAAATTCATTGGCCATCAAATTCCACTACACTCTGAGTGGCACAGAAAAGTAGTTAACTGATAAGTGGCCAGCTCTAGAAATTTAAATCATAAACCAATGAAGAAGGAGATAATGAAACAACCCTGTTTCTTATTTCAGCTATTGGGAGCAACTACCATACAGCTAATACCTGGGATGAAGACAGCACAATGTCCAGTTTCCATATTCCAGACATGGACAGTTCAGCAACACTCAGTCAGAGTTCAGAAAGGACTTCCCGCTTTCTTAGAGAGAACTTCACTGGAAAAGAGCCAGCTACTCAAAAACAACTTGCTACATCTTCTGGTCAGATCCAATGGTCATCTCATGTAACATTTCCAATACTTCAAAGTAGGACATCAAATGCCAAACAGCCTGATTCTTTAACAAGGATTATGCTTACTCAGTCTTATACTTCTCCACAAACTAGTATGTATTTTTCCATATTTTCTATTCCTTACTGTCAGAAAAAGCAGGTGATGCTATAGAGCAGGGTGGGCAAACTTTTGGTGGCCTTGAGTTTACATTTTATATTTCATGGCAATCTTGGATTGCAAGAATAGCAACATACAAATGGATAGAGGTGTGACACCAATTTTGGGGCAAGATTTCCCCCCCGCCCTTTTCTTTAACTATTTTTCCGTAATTCATATAAAGGTTTCTTTGGGTTATCTGCCTTAAAACAATGGTAGACTACCACCTATAATTGACAGCATGGTTAAAAAAAGACTATAAATAATAGGGCTGGGTACTTATCAATATTCTGCTCTAGAACGTAACTCTAATTTGGTACAGGTAGTCCTTGAGTTATGACCACAATTAAGCCCAAAATTTATGTTG